CTCTTATGGCGAGGATAGGAAAAATCGGTCCTAATAACTAGACATTTTTCGCGGCCTTGTGGTTTGCTGGTCCGAGTGATAGGTGTTTTTATTTTGAACGTAACACAACCAAGTCCAAATCGAAAACTCCCTACAATTCATGTGCGACCGGCCTGAAGCAGATGTTCTTTGTGGGCTATGGTCGCGCAAAACTGATCCACTAACCTTTCCACGTTCCCTAAGGAGACAGCAAACCCCATGCTATGCCGACTCGGAAAGTATCAACTACCTGCATACTCCTGGCTGTATACAAAATCTAAACGACCGTAACCTACTTTTGTCGCTTATCTTGCTTTCGTTATCTGTTCATGTCACCAATGTTATGTTCCTTCAACTTCCCACTCTGTGAGCACCGCTATCGATTCAAGCCAGCAAAGCACCACTACTGGTCTCCTAAGACCACAGCAAACAATTCCAGACTGAAGTTCTCATTTATCAAGCCCTATGCCGAATCGAAAAACAAGTTTCAGCTACCAAAAGTCTGGGATTTCAGCTCCTGCATGCATGCTGCTTTTCTGAGACATGCAGGAACAACATTTAGTTAGTAATCTGACCTCACCTAGTCACAGTGGGGAATCTGCGAAATTCGCTTTACGAACATCTAGAGACTGAGACTATTTACGGTAGACTTGGTGATATATCTGCACCATTAGGCTTCAAAGAAGAAAGGACAATTCCAAACTGGATACCAGTCGACAGCCATCTGTGTACTGTCAGGCTGAATAAATATGCTAAATACAGTAAGGGTAACAGTAATTTGTAGTCCACCCATGCGCCCACTGACTACAGTTCTGCAGTGCAAAAGATGAATTAAACCTAATATTCATCGTATAAGGTGTATTTTTACTTGTATAATCCTGGCGTAGTGTATTAGGAACAAATAACAAAATGTCTGTTTATTTTGTTATACTACGCCGAGATTATACAAGTAAAAATATGCCTTGTACGATTAATCATACTAACGTGGTGCCCAAGTTTTTTCAAACCATCCAGTCCATTGTTGGTCAGGATACCTTTAAACCGAATGTTGCGAATTTTTCTGCATAAATAACGCTTCGACACAGCCATAACAGAAGGACAGTCTAAAAGGCATATCCCAGGTGTTTGTGGCATATCATGCCAACAACAGCGATTGACTCCCACAATTTTATTCCAAAAACTTTTTTTTGACCAACGCTAGCTTCAAATATAATCGGAGACATACTACCTAGCTTGCCATGGACCGATATCATACCAAGATGTGATATCAGTCGCTATATATCATCGTATGAGATCAGTAGGGATGCCTACATGGATTCCGATCATATGTAGGTAAAAGCATGTGGTTTTTACCTTTATGGACACAGGAAATAGAGAGCAGTTAAGGATTTGTGTGTCTAACTGGAAGATGAGAACGCCAATTGTGTATTTACAGTATCTGAACATGGCAGCATGTCTCTTTCCCGTAAAGCCTGCCGTAATATAGTCTGCTGCATAAACAGTCGAAAAGAAAGTAGTTAACCTACATTCAAAAGTAAGCAAACGTCAGTGGATTTCTATAGCCTCATCCGAAATGGTTGATGCGAGAAGTCTTATTCCAGTCAGCTCTGACCAAGATGACGATTGAAGGTAGTGTGAATGTAAATTAACTAAGGGACTTTGCAAATACAGCCAGCAATGGTGTGCGAGAAAGCGAAAGGAACGGAGAGGGCATCACCACCAAAAAATAATCAGTTATTTAGGATTATTAAGGATACTGGTAAAAAGCAGATGATAGTCAGTGAGACCATCGCCGAAAAGGATAGGATCCTGAAAAAGGTCTCAGGACAGGCGGCTAAAAAATTGAGTGGAACAATTCCACTTGCTCACAGCTACTCTTCAGGTCCCTAACACACAGTTCCAATTTCAGTGGGAAGTAGATATCGATTCTCTACCTTTCCCTGAAATTGATTAAGCTGTTTTAAGTCTGAAGTGGTGTAAACTACCTGGACCTGGCAACTTTCCACCAGACTTTTAGGGATGTGTAAAACTACTGTGTGGATTAACGGGGACACTATGTATTGTACAGGAATCATATATGGTCTCGTTATATCAGTCTAGGTCGCTGTTGATCCCAGTTTACAAAAAAGGAATCTTTGTATGACAATTACAAGAGGACTAGTTCGACTAACGCTTCACTGGACCTCTAGAACAAGTAAGTCGAGGGAATTACGCAGGCTTCAATCTTGAACAAGGGCGTAATCCGTCCGATTTTCAAATTCTGACAGGTTCTGTGGAACAAACAGAAGTTATCATTGCTGCCAATCTAAAGGCTATATTTAATACTATCGGTCGACAGGTGCTGTGGCAGTGTCTAACTGTGAAGGGAGTGCAGAGTATGTCGAGTCGAAATCGACATGCATTCAGCAACGATGTACACTTTCACGCAGTTAGCAAGGAGGCACACTTATGGTGTGAGGGCTAATGATAATACCTGGCTGCCCACACCTCGGTAGGGGACCGGTGCTCGAACCCGTGACCCATTGGTTGAAAGTCAGTTGCCTGAACCAATGACTTACGGTTAATACTAACAAAAACCCTTTACTCAAACTCGAGCAGCAGTGTAAAGGCTTATGGAGAGTCGGAATCTGGTGAAATCACAACTAGAGATGTCAACTGTCAAATTTCTTCAACTTTCTTTTACGTACGCTGATGAATATAACCCTAGGTACCTCCAACTTTTAACGTATTAGCCTATTAAGAGGACACTTGGAGTATGCAGATGACACAATTCTAATAGGCAAAAACGCTGACAGAACCGTTTCCAAACACGTTAGTCAGAAATCTGAGTGCATGGTATGGGTTTTGCACCTGTTAAATGATGTCAAGACAATGCTTTATAACTGTTCTTTAGCTACTCCTAGTTTAAGGACATAAGAGTGGAATGCTCGAATGCGTTGAGCACTTCAATTACTTGGGAGTCTGCGTTAGTCCAAGTGTGTTGGTTGTTGACGGAATCTCAACTCGAATATGAAAAGCCAGTTTGGCACTTGCCAACTTACGCGATCTCTCGGGCCCACGAGATTACCATTTCTATTGAAGGGCGAGTAAGCTGCAGCTATGGTTTTGTCCTGATATACAGTTGTGAAATATGTTCGTTAGGCTAGATGTCGAGAGGGCATGGGATTTTGAACATAGATGTATTCATAGCATTACTCACGTAAGATGGAATCACCTTGTGAGCGACGGAAGGTTAAGCGAAGAGTGCTAGGCACAGAAAGCAAGTCAGTCGATGAGTCTGTGAACCATTTTAGAGACTGAGTTGGCTTGAATATGTGCTATGTCTGCTGAGCCACCTTTCATCACGCCATACGGTGGTATCCGAAGTAAGATTACTTTAAAGGAAAGGTAAATGGAGTCATACCAAGACAAGGCGCCAGTTAGCGAATTTTTTGTCCGTCCGAAGCATATAGGGAGATGTAGACTATCTGGCTGGAGTACCTTGGTACGATAGGAATCAGTGGTTGGTAGACTCTTGGTGGAGTCTTGAAATCGGTCACAATGGTACAAACGCATGCACTTTCTTATCATTTTTTAGAGTACGAACTTTTTCCATTTATCCTCATCTGTTTACCTTCTCTCCTTTCACTTACTTTTGCCTACTCATGTTTTTTTCTGTCTACCTTCTCCTCTGTTGTGTAGCATGACAGTTTGAAGTGATGCACTTTTGTAAGAAATTTTACGTTAACTAGTTTGTCTTGGTGGTTGGACATAGAGAGTCGTTAGATCTCTTCATAGCATGGGGGGGGGGGGTTGTGTTTCACAGGCATAGAGAACTACACGCGCTGATGGGGTGTTTACATGACGTTTTAAACCAAGGCTAACACCACACCGTATCAAAGTTGATGTTTATTGACGTATGCTTTCCTGTTTTCCGGTATGTCGTCAGAAGTCTCGTTAGTCACACCTTTACCAGTACTCACACAATTACATAAACTTTTCTATTACTCACTACAGTCTACCACCAAAACCGACTGTAGATACAGGCTCCTTTCAATCTTATGAAAGAACTCTGAGCTTCGGCGGTGCAATGCACACACCATATTCATGAACACCGATCCCCAACTAATTAGTTGCGACCTAAGTAACCTGTATGTTTTCGCATACGAAAAGGGATATCTTGCACGACTGATGGGAATGATATGGATCGAAATGACAGCCCATTTTGCAAATGGTTTCCCCATTGCCTTACTCAATTTCATTACGGGGACTAAGAGTATGAACCCTGTGAAGAGTTGGAGATAATTATCCTTTCCTACAAATACGTCTACAGCAAAGACGAACAAGAAAATGAAGTCAAATAATATCAGAAGCTGTAAAGAACAAAATCGGAAGTGCGGAAAAAATATGAAAACTACACATCTCTTTCACACAGAAAGTTGGTATGTTAGCGAAAAACTGAAGCTTATACAGTAAAACAAAGTCTAAAATGAAGACAGCCTCACGGTATTCACTTCTTCAAGTCGTTTTCAATTGAATCCGTTAATTTACTAGCTAAGATCAATCCTATACTTAAAGATGATAGTGCTAGACAATGTTTTTGTGTAAAAATATTAAAAGCGATGGTCAATTAACCCTGTGTACAGAACTCCATGAAGCATAATAAGGCTGTAAAAAGTGGCAATCAAGAGTTGCTTGACTACAGTTACTAATGTAACATAAGACTGGGGGTGGATTAGAATCATATTTGTGTTATGACCTTCCATAAAAAGGCTGTGTGACATCTAGCACTTGAAATAACACTGCTAATGGTCTACATCCAACCACTGTAGCAAAAACATTTTAATAGTAATGTGTCCATACTGAAGGTAGCTACAAACCGCATGTATCTAACAAATACGAAAAGCCATATTAGTTGTTTTCCAGGAATCCCATTGCTCGCAGGTCCGTTTTACAAATTCATTTATGATTATAGTTTGGTTCCAAATAAAATGAAAAGCCCAGAAGATAAGAAATATTTATTATTAATCACAGATATTATTTCACTTTCTCAGCGATAAATGCAACTTGACTTAGTAATCTGGAGGTAGACCTAAAATTGGTGATTCATAATTTAAAGAAGAGTACCAATTACCAATACGATGACGCGTATTTTTCTTGCGTTTTTCAGCCTCTCGAAGTTGAATCCGCTCAAATGATTCTTTGATACTTTTACTAACTTTTACACAATCCCCACTGCACTGAGTATCAATGAAGTTTTTAAACTCCATTAGGTCTTGTAATCCTAGTTCTATGCGAGTAAGTGGACGTCTCTGCATGAATAAACGACTTTGGTATCAGCTATAAAAAATTAAAATTACTGAGTGCATTTTTAAATATGATCCATACGCAGTAAATATCTACATAAAAAAGCATATTCCATAGACAGAATACTGTACAAAGGAATAACCTAAATCTGACACAATGACGCCTGACCGACAGCTGCTACCTTTACATGGCGGTTGGGCTTGTAAATCACAATGACCCGACGGGCCACGCTAGCTGGAACATTTGTTTCTTCGAGGTCCTACCATACCAGAAAGGTGTGTTAGATATTGGTAACGGGAGAAGTAGTTACCGTTATCCTGTGGATTGTTACACTTTAATGGGGGTCATAGGGCTAAGTCGTCCTGTAAACAGGACAGGGTGTAACAGCGGTAAGGTATTTCCGACGGATGATCAGTAGTATCATGCTGATGCTACCTGCCTGGTGGGAAGTCGGGGTTAGAAAAGGTTGGCCCATAAAATAAAACACTCCTCCCTGCCCTACGGTCTTCCGGTGCCGAGGGTATGGGTTTCTCCAATCTGGCGTTAGAACAAATAATTCACAAGCCAACAACTCTCAAAAGCCAGTGCGTGACAGGGCTCAAGCAGATGTTCCATGGGATATGAAGTCACCTAAATCTCTTTCAGGTACCCTGCAGAAAGAACTTCCGCAGTGTAGTCAACCAGAAAGTGTGAACCACCTGCACGAGTCTGCTAGTACACAAGATTTATTTCTCTTTATCTTCTTATCACGTTCAGATACGGTCGTAACAGTCGGTGACTTCAACGCTCAAGTAGGAAAGCTGAGCCATTCGGAAAGGCATCTAAGCGAATCCCATGCCAACAAGCCAAAAACAGTGACCGTCCATTTTAGTCTGTTTATTAGAAACGTCACGGGGAAACAGCACTGTTTACTGGACAACGTTTCGGACATAATTCATCGTCCATATTCATATTAGGTAACTTCACAACCTTGAGACAGACTTTATATAGTCTCAGTTTTCTCTCCCTCTTTATGACGACAAGGATAGAATTTTTCATATATCTGGGACAGGTGTAGAATAGTTTCTTTCGCATGTATTTGGTGTTGATTCGGTAAACAAAACATTCAGCTATCAATCTCTCCCCCCACCCAATTAAGTCAGATTTCAATACTGTCGCTCTATCCCACCTAATTGTGTGCAACTGCGGACATAGCTATAGCCAAGCTTCTCTCCAAATTTCCTATCCTATTAGGACCTATCAATCTTGATTCAGCAAAGTTTTTGTGCTCCGCTGTTCTGACTGATCCTGGTCGACCACTATGACTTATGTATTTAACCTCAAAATCGCAAGGGATTTGGTAGGCTACATTTTTTAGCCTAGTTGAATCGATACGATTGTTCAATCTACAAAGTTTGTTTCGAAGAGAGTTCTTCGGTTTAAATGCCACTTTAATCCCAGGCTTATCGAGAATTCTTCGTAACGCTTCTGAGGTGCTTTATTTGTATGCCAACACGGTAGAGGCTTTGAATCCTCTCGTAACGCTGTCATCATTGTTACTAATATAAGTAGAAATATTATTAATAATACCTGCATTTCTACTGCTACAGCTTGTATTATTCTTCCGATTTCTTATGAAGTTGCTTGTAAATCTACGTAGGTATTTATTGATGCAACGTATTCTTCATGTCTCTAATTTTCTGTCATACTAGTAAGCTTTTTTATCCTATTACTTAGGCATTTAACTACGCCTATTTTAACTGAGTTGGGATGAGATGATTTGAAGTGTAAGTATATGCAATAGAAATGATTCTGCATCTGTCCCAGATATATAGAACATTCTACTACCTTTATCACAAAGATGGAGAGAATTAGAACTATATAAACAATGTCTTAATGTTGTGGAGTCACCTGATATGAATACGGACAATAAATTATGCCTGAAGCGTGATCCAGTAAATAATACTGCTTTGCCGTTGACTGCCTAATAACAGACTAAAACTGAATTACAACCTACCACAATGCCCAAGTCTTACTCCTTACTCCCAAATCAACAGTCATCGTCTTTTGCAATTTTGTTCTGGCGATCACTTGTTTCTGGCCAGCATCAACTTCAAACATAGAGACAGATGCTGTATCACATGGCATACGCTGGTGTCAAACCAATGATGCATACAGATGGAGTATATTGCTATAAGCTATCGTTGAAGGATTTCCGCTCTTTCAACAGTACCTGTTTGGACTTCAACCACGTGTTAGCCCTCAAATGCATTTGCATCCTACTTTTCGCAGAAAAAAAGCGGCAGTGAAACCCGTGTGCTCGATTAGAAAATGAGAACTTCAAATCCGTATTTAACAAAGAGATAGGCAAACATTTATCTGAACGCGATAGCAATACTCATTCTGAGAACTGGTGTGGTATTAAGTCTGCTGTAGAAACAGCGTTACAGACAGCTGGTAACCTACATTTAAAGGTTATCAAACGTCAATGAATTTCCACAACGTCATCCGAACTGATTGATGAGAGCCAATCCTAACCATAGTGAAATGCGAAAGCAACTGAAGTGTGACCAAGAGCCTTCATAACAACCGTGAGTTGTGGTGGGTCACGAAAGCAATGGAGATGAAGAAGGCAACAAGGTCAGTTGATATCCGGGAACTATTCAGACTTAGCAGGGATACCAATAAGAAGAGGACGATGGTTAGTGAAACCACCACCAAAAGGGATGAAACCCTGATAACTTCCCAGGGCAAGCGGCTGTAACGTTGGGCAGAATACTTTGAAGCACAGCTCAAGTGGCCCACAGAGACGCTTTAGTTACCCGACGTCCAGCCTGGATCTGAATGGGACGTAGATGTCGGTCCTCCAACTGCTCAGGAAGTAGAGAAGGCTGTTTCAAACGTGAGACGACACAAAGGAGCAGTAACCGATAGTTTGCCACCAGATTTTAAAGATGGAGGTAGGATATTACTGAACAGTGACGGATATACCACAAAGAGTGTGGGGTTCAAGAGTACCGCTGGACAGGTTTACTTCGCTGATCATCCCTGTCTATAAGAAAGGAAAGAAGTCTTTTGACAACCATATGGGAATCAGTCTAATTGACAACTAATGGGATCCCTCAGGGATGTCTGCTGTCACCATTTCTATCTACTTTCTTTACAGATGTACTAATGGACATAAGCTGAGATAGGTCTGACCACAGAAATCGACCCCCACCCTCTGGAATACATGTAGCTGACTCGGAGTACGCAGACCGTGTTGTTCTGCTAGGTGGAGAGGCTGACACAATGCAGGGTCTTCTGAACACCTAAAACAGAAATCCATTTCTGGCCAGCATTTTACGTTTTCAGGGTGTGAGATGATCCTTCTGGACCGGTCTGCACCTATTCCCAGTTTAATGATAAAGAGTAAAGTGGCAAAATGTGTTGACCACTTCAATTAATTTGAGAGTTGCATCAGCCCGGACCTCCTGGTGGCTGACGGAATCTCAGCACGAATACAGAATGCTAGTTTATGAACCTTTACCATCTGAGGTGACTTGAACGTGTTGCACATGCCGAAGCAACGCCCACCTTAATGTGCAATGGTAGGAGAAATTGGACTAGGTTGAAAGAAGGCTCAGGGTTACCGGATGAAGACGTGGAACCAATGCAGAGTCTGACTGCTTATGTGAATCCGGTAGGGAAGTGTAGACTAACTGATCGGAGTTGCCGAGACGAGAATCACTTTTTGAGGTCTCTTGGTGACAGCTGGAAATAAGTCAAAATGGGGAAAATAAATTCACTTTAAGGTCTTCTAAAGATTGAGGATCTTCACTAATCTTGACTTGCGAGTTCGTTCCCACTTCACATCCCATTATCACCTTTGATATCTGTCTTTTTCCATCCATTCGTATGTTGCATGCTGCTGCGAAGAGGGGCAACTTGAGCCTATGCACTTCTGTACGATGTTCTATCTTTGGACACCAAAACTTTTTACTAGCTACAGATCTGGATACCAACAATTTAGGAACAATGCATGGGTTTCCCGGAGATTACACGTCTTATTCTTAAGTGGATTGCCCAAATTTAGTGTCTACAGTCGGCGAAGTGCATCCAAATATTTTTAGTAGTTGCACTATGGTGAGCTCCATAACCTAGACACCTGACTTTACTTGAATCGCTTGTGTAGTTTTAAAAAACTTAGATGTATTACAGTCACACGTCAAGTTACATCATGAATAGCTCTTTACACCTACAGAGTAAACTGCTTACAAAGAGCTCCAAATTTTTATGATAACGCACACCTTAAATTCCCGCTGGGGTTCAGCAAAATGACTTCAAACTTCGTGTTGTAGAAATAGCCGATAACAGTTCCTTTTGTTTTATGTCTGAAATGATTTCCATGTCTGAAATGGTCATTTATTTTCTCGAATCAAAAAATCTCAAAGTTTAGAGATAATCAATTAACATCCTAATTAGCTTGTTACCACTGGTGCTACTATCCTTGGCTTGTAAGATGACAGGTGGGTTCTTGTATGCAATCTGTCTTTACCAAGGAACTCTACACACGTTTCGGACCCCCGGTTAAAAGCATCAGGAGTGGGAAGTGTCACAAATCCTTCAAGGAGTCTCACAGGCTACACACTATAACCTGACCACCGTAAATGTTTTGTTATGCCCCAATCTGAAACGAATCGCTGTGATGTGGTGTTTATCAATAAAGCTTGTGGGCAAATGGTTAGGATAAAGAGGAGCATGAGTGATATGATGCACCATAGTAATGTCCCGCCTGATCCTGTGGGTTCAACTCAAGAGCAGCTAAGCGATGCAGGTGAGGTATGTGCTCCAGGCTAATCACTTCGTTCGTAGCTCTTCTCTGAACTTCTTCTAGAGTGGCAGTACTCTTCTCCATGTGTAGGGAAGTAACTAGCAAATCCTCCTCCATATGAGAATGAATATATAGTCCGTTCGCTGGAGTGAGACTCCTTAGAGCATGGAACAAAATCTTAAGACTCCGTGAACCCTGTCGGCTGCAGGGTGATGATGAAGAGAAGCTCCAAACATGTCAGTTAGGGTAAGCTTTTGATCTTTTTCAGCGCCTAAGTTAGAATTATTTGTTTTCCTCAGGGATTAGGAACCAGTATTACACTTATATTTGTCTATAATCATTATCCTGCACTTCTCTGAATCGAGAGGAAGCGGGTTTTCACCTGTCCAGCTTAAGATTTTAGAAAGACCATACTATGGAAAATGGATATCCGTGGGCCCCTGGATCTCCCTTTGAATCTTGAGATTATCAGTGTACCATAATGAATGGATAGTTAGGCCGGCTGGTAAGTTATTTATGAAGGAAAAGAACAACAGTTAACCGAGAGTGAAACCATGAGGCACCTCGTTCTGCACCAGAAACCATTCACACAAGAAGGATTTCACTCTAACCGGTTGTGACCAGCTGTCCAGGAAATCCCTGGACGAAGTGGGTGAATAGCCAGGTGCACTCATGAGGCAAAGCTTCTTATACAGGATTAATCCTGTCAAGAGCTCTGAAAAATCAGATGACTGTATTTGGATGGGCTTCTTCTGCTCAGCAAGTGTCCAAATATTCCATCCTGTCAACAGTTCGGTGCTACGTGACCTTCCAAATAAATATCAGTGTTAGCAGCTAGTTAAGATTCTATCCCTAGGCGAACAATCGTAAAACAAATCAACTGCTACTCCTTCTGAAGCCCTCACAACAGAAATGACTAAGGGGGTCAGTCTCTAATTAAGGGCAGGTAATATACTGCCAACCTTATACACCGGGATGACAGTAATCGTTTCATGCCAGGAGGTAACTTGTCTTCTAGAAACAAGTTTTTGAAAAGGTTTACCAGTGGAACAGTCAGAACATCAACACAACACTCTCAGGTAGGTGACGTAGGTTTCCGAAAGTTTATTAGGATGTTTACTCCTTAAGACCCTAATGTTCTTAAGAGGCTCAAATTCTATCGAAATTAACAATTCTGCATTGTCTCTTCTACTAGATGGAAGTTATTTTGAAGTTCCTGTGCTAGCTTGTTACCTTCCCCACAGTTTGTGTTCCGAAGCACCGAACTATTGAGGCCCTGTAAACGGAACGAAACGTTACTCTTCTTTTCCATCAGAGAGTATGACGTCCCATGATTCCCCTCCAGTGTCTTTAATAGAGGTGTCTGGTGGCTTACACCGTCACTTCTGACTTCTACTGTTCATCTGTTACGGATGTTCTTGTACATTTCCCAGTCACCCACGCTAACAGAAACGCTCCACTGAATCCAGGCTGAGAGCTTACACTGCATAAACTTACCAGTGTCCTATTTTAGCCAAGAAAAGTGGATTTTTTGGCCACATGGAATGAAAGGAGTTTTCTTATCTATGGTTCGAAGCGTTGTTTCGTTAAACAGTTGCCATCGTGGTTCCAAATCGAGCAAACTGTCGGGACTTAGAGCAGCGGGACCTGGTAATTTTTGTCCGACTGTTTCACTGTCAGTTTAACTATAATTCCCGATTCTTGGCCAATCAGCTGTAGGTAACTTAGATATAGAAATGCTGAAGGAAATCAGTGCATGATCACTCTGTCCAAGGGAGTTAAAGGCAAGTAATTTGTACACACCAATGAAATGAGTGGCAAGAACGTGGCCTAGTTGGAACCCCTTACATAAGACTCCCCCAGTAGGTACAATGAGAGATGAGATACTCTCCACTGTTAGCTCCCTAAATTCCTCTGTTAGAGTGGGTGAACTTGTGACAGGGAAGAGCTGGGTACACTCGAAGCCACTCATGTTGAGAGCTGGAGGGAAGTTCACACCCAGAATGACTATGAGGAACTGGATCATTTCCCCATTAAATGTTCCGTAGGCTGCTGGAGAGCTATGTGAAAATCTAGCTAAGCAGCAACCTCCGGAACATTTACTTCTGCACCAGATTACACCAATGATCTTAAGTCGGGGAGGAATTTCGTTAGTTCTCAACAGAAGAAAGATTAGAAGCCCGACACCAACTCCTGATTTTTCCGATTTATCCACCCGAGTTAAGCTAAACCCTCCGGGAAGAACTTCACCAATTTTCATGTGACTCGTGAACCGTACATCACAAATAGCCACCATTCCAGAACGATCCTCTTCAACCAATACCCTCGCCTCGCGTATTTTGGAATTCTGTTCCCGAATATTCCTTTGGAAGCAGAGAATGGGAGTATGCGAACCCAGAGTCCCAGAAGACGATTGGGTCAGGGCGGCTGCATGACCTTTCTTTAAGGCGCCGGCTGCCTCAGACGTTTTACAGATGAAGCAACGGAATTAAGCCTTTAACACATAGATATAGATTGGTGGGGGCGAGTTCTGGAATCCCTTGTCAGTTTGCCCTAGTCCCTTATGCTGAAACTCACCTTTTTATGTCCCTAAGGAAAGCATCCGACTTATTATATGAGACTCCAGAACTGTTTCGACCTTGTCCAGAGAGCTGAGGAAAGCCTGGGAGTATAGACGGTCGAGAAGAGTGGTTCTCGGATGACAAATTTTTTTCGGACTTCGCATTTTGGAATGGCCCTGATGCAAACTTGACAGACGCAAAGATCAATCACTAATTATTCGGACTTGCTATATACCCACGAGTACGAGACCAAGGAAGAACACGATAGCGTAGTCAGATGGCAGAGTATTTTTGGATGGTTGTGCCAAGATACCGATACGTTCCAACTGACTGGCTAGAGAGTCGAATACGAGCAGTGCAGTGTAACACGACAGTGTGCCAAATGGCGAAGATGCTTGACCGGGTGCCTTCAGCTTAGCGAGTCCAGTTAAACTATCAAGGTCAACATCAGTGCTGAATGTCGTCAAACTCTAGGCTGTTGATTTTGGGGAAGTGTGTGACGCTACAATATTTATCTGTAGTTTATCGTGAATAGAGTCAAAAGTTTCAGCATCTACACATTGTCAGGTTCCATGTGTGATGCCTAGGCAGCGTACGTCCCTGGTGCAGATTTTTCCGCTGTTGTGTAGTTATTCTTCCACAGAACATGGTCTTTCATGCATGATCCTAATGTATTGGAACTTTTGCCCAACTAATTGTCGACCTGCTGAGATGATGTTTTTGGTTTGACAAGTTTTACCTAATGAGACCTCCGGAGAGTCTTTTGGAGAAGACTCACTGGGCGTCAGGCGTTTCAAGGTTGGATTGCTGCGTAAAGTCCCCTTAAAGCTTATATACAACCTTTCACTGATCGACATCACACTACTCACAATCCGTCATCAAAGTAGAGCCACCATTGTTGTAGTTGAAAAGGATGATTGGTAGAAGATTAAGGCAGTTTTCTGTCTGTATGGAAGTGATCTCCAGAAGAATGTGTCTGTTCCACTTTTTTGGAGCGATCCGCAAGACGAACTGTTAATTTCGTGAGCCACTTTTAGAACTTTTCAGAGCCAGTAATAAGCTGTACATGGGTTCTTTTCAATTTTTGGGGGGCATTTCTAATGAAACTGTCATATCACAGCTGGGTAAGAAGTGTGTAGGCTATACTGGGAGTGGTTTTCACACTATTTTTGGCGGGAGGTGCAGCCAGTATTTCAAGTTACCACTACTTCCTGAAGTAGCACCAGTTGACGTTTTAATCACTTTGTATTTATTCCTCCCGGTTGTCTTGTCGCCGCCTGCCAGCAAAGAACCCCATTCGTCGGGCGATTTTGCAAGCAACTTCAATAAAATTTGTGGAATTCGGACGAAAACATGCATTGAAGCAAACAACGGTTTTGATAACTTTGATATTTAATAGTTGTAACATTATTTTCAACTTTTTGAGACTTCCTGGCTAGTCTGACTTGAACTAATTTCGCCACGTTTAGACCACCACATATGGTAAGAGTGGTCTACGAACAAGATCAGAGGTAACTGCGCACTCTAAGAAGTGAAAGTGGGTGTAACTGACTCCTTTATCTAGGCCAAAAACAACGTCATGATGCAAGACTATGGTAGCCTCAAACTACTCCTCCTGTGTATGTAGGAAAATCGCTTGTAATCTCCGGAAGGCTCCAGTGAAACATCAGGTGCAGCCAGAAATCATTTATCTGCTAATCTGAAAGGGAAAGCTTACAGGAGTAGGTCTGGAGTTAATATACACATGAAATGACTTGATCTCCTTTTGAGCACGGGTACTGTATTTTCGGAACGTGATGCAATGACGACATAAATTAGAGGATGACGTGCAATATTTACACATTTTTCAAATATCATACACGAAGTGCTGTTAGGACATAGGCTTATTGATTTATTCAAGTATCTGCGATAAGGTGCACCCCACCTCATA